ATATTTTTCCCATAACAATAGAAATCTCATAAACAATACAAAAAATATACAAAGTTCCACCAAATACAAACCAAACCAGGCAATACCCGAAAGTAAATAAAAACACCGAAGACAAAAGCCGTTCCACCAAATACAGACCAAACCAGGCAACTTCCAAAAGTAAATAAAAACACCGAAAGGCAACTTCCACTGTATTAAAAATTTAGACCTATCTAGTTCTGCTTCTGGTCACTCTTGCACCTGCTCCCACCTCCACATTTTCGACCCAATCTCTAACAGCTACTTTTATTGTGCTCTGTTCTGCTCTCCAAATATCTTCAAACTGTCACAAATTTCGAGTATTCTAAAGCCACCAGAGAATATAGGTTGTCAAATGTAGATACAAAAGTGAATTTCTTAAACTGCGTATGGTAAGCCAGAAATTCTATGGCGCCTATATGGGCACCATATGGTGCCATAATCTCACGATCCAACGCCTAATATCCATTCTATCAATTCCACAATGAATATTAGGCGTTAGATCGTGAAGATTATGGTACCATATGGTGTCCATATGGACGCCATAGAATTTCTGATGATAAGCACCATTAGTTAACTTGTGACTTATTTAGTCAGTTTAAAAATTTATTGTACTCTAATAACCTATGTTTGGTGGTAAAGGATTTTTTCTGAAATGCTGAAACTTAGGTTTTCATAAACTTCTTTAAATAACTTTCAAATTCTAGGTTTTCAATCATAAACTTACTGTAAAATTGAAATTCAATTATAAGTTCGAAATGATAAGCTAGCTTCTTTTAACATGTAGCCTTAATATTATCGGGTAGGAGGGTGGAATCTTCTATAAACCCTCACTCGTGCGTCGTTAAGCACTACGGCCTTATCCACACCTACCCTCATTTCCCTTTTGCCTATTTTCATCATCTGCTTATCCCGACTTTCTGCTGAAATCAAACGACACCAATTTTTTAAAATGGCTTCAGCAAATGCTATTCCTACAACCTCCAGCCTCCCTTCATCTTCCAGACAGGTGCACCCATTTTTGACCTTATTATTTATGATCACTACTATGTTCTTCAGCTGGTTCTTTTTCGTTTAATATTTAAATGCTTGAAGTTGTTCATTTTCTTGTTTTCCAGTTGGGGGTGAAGAATAGAAGAGCGACCCAATTCCAAATGTGTTTGCAGAATCAGGTTAAGAACCGGTCTGTGGTGAGGGCCAATGCTAAGGAGATTGCATTCGATCAAAAGTCAAGGTCCGCTATGCAGATTGGTATAGACAAGCTCGCCGATGCAGTTGGTCTCACTCTTGGCCCCAGGGGTAATTCTTGCAATTTTCAGTTAATTCTTCTGTTTGGTGATTCAATGCTGTAACTTCTTCTCGGAATAAAAAGATGTGACAACAGACGCAACTCAAATTTTTGGGACCCAAAGAAGACAAAAAGGGTCATGTGACAAACTTTTTTTTTTTTTCCCCCAACTCTGGATATTTGGGTTTTCAAATGGTCCCAAGTTTTTTTTTACCCGCATTTTGTGACCCACCACAAAATGGTGTTAACTTACAATATTTTTGAGAAGGTCTGAAAATAAAAAATGGGCCTAAGACCAACCCGTGGAGCAATTTTTTGGGACAGCTTCAGTAAAAACATGTGCAACTCAGTGGTAAAATTATTTAAGCTTTCGTTGTTGGTAAAATAGTCTGGCCAATGAAGGTTTATTGTCTGAAATGTTATTGGATACATCTGTTAGGTGTTTTTATTTTTCTGTAATAACATGTAGGAAGGAACGTGGTGTTGGATGAGTTTGGGGCCCCAAAGGTGGTGAATGATGGTGTGACGATTGCACGGGCCATAGTGTTGCCTGATGCTATGGAAAATGCTGGTGCTGCCCTCATTAGAGAGGTTGTGTTCTGTTCCCGTTTGGGAAAATGACTGAATTGTTGTTTTTTACTTTCTTGCGCATTAGGCCGCTTTGAACCATTTGAATTTGTATGTGTAGGTCGCAAGCAAGACGAATGATTCTGCTGGTGATGGGACCACTACAGCTTCAGTGCTTGCACGTGAAATCATCAAACTTGGCCTTCTTAGTGTGACATCAGGTGCTAACCCGGTTTCTCTGAAGAGGGGCATTGAGAAAACTGTCCAGGGTTTGGTTGACGAGCTTGAGAAGAAAGCTAGGCCAGTCAAGGGTCGTGATGACATCAAAGGTATTGTGTTTATTGTATTATATTTTTTAAAATTTGGACTTAACGTCTCTTATTTTTATTAAAGACTAAATCATGCAGCCATTGCTTCGATCTCTGCCGGCAATGACGAGAGCATTGGAGCAATGATTGCTGATGCAGTTGACAAGGTGGGCCCCGATGGTGTTCTATCCATTGAATCATCATCGTCCTTTGAGACCACAGTTGATGTCGAAGAAGGAATGGAGGTTTGTATGCCAAGGGTATATTGTAATTTTGAAAAATGCCTAGTTTTCTTTTCCACTTCTCCTTCCTCTAATTTCTTTTCGCACTTATTGATTTGGTTAAACTCAAATTTTTTATTTTGTAACTAACCCACCCTTTAATTTATCTCTTATCAATGCCACGTAGTATATAAACTAGTATTTATGAACGATTTGCTAATGTTTGTCATGGTTTACAGATTGACCGTGGATATATCTCCCCACAGTTTGTGACGAACCCTGAGAAAATGATTGTCGAATTTGAAAACGCAAGAGTATTAGTTACCGACCAGAAGATTTCGGCAATCAAGGATATTATTCCTCTGTTGGAACTGGCGACAAAGTTACGAGCACCTTTGCTAATTATTGCTGAAGATATCACTGGAGAGGCACTGGCCACCCTCGTTATGAACAAGCTTCATGGTATTTTGAAGGTGGCTGCAATTAAGGCACCTGGTTTTGGAGAAAGAAGGAAAGCTCTTCTTCAAGATATTGCCATTTTGACTGGTAAGAATAATATGCTTTAAAATGATTCAATTTAAAGTTTCTTGCCTGGTTCTTGTATTTCTTCTATCACGTCAAGTTCTCCTGACACGCTGGAACACCTGATGCTTGTCGACTTGAGTTGCCGCGTAAAATAAAGCAAAGATGGTTCAAAAGGGGCAATATTGGCCATGATTGAAATTACCCTGGAGGTAAAATAGAAAGAATGAAAAAGGAAATGAAAAAAAAAAGGATAGAATTAATAACTCGCTCACATGTCTCGTTTGATTCTGTCATGTGAACTGTGTTCTTAAGTGTTGTTCAAATACTTATCGATCTTTAGGGCGTGTGTAATAGCATATGACGTGGATTGTGAGCCAGAGATACTTTAAGTGTTCCGCAATTCCGGAATATAATTGGATTCTCTTGGTAATAGATTGGAACTTAACGATTGTTTTTGTAATTATGCTATTGAAGTTTTCATTCCTCAAACAGCATAGCATCACATTCTGTTAATATTTCTACTCTACTGTCTGCATCTCAGGGGCCGAGTACCAAGCTTCGGATTTGGGCCTGCATGTGGAGAACACTGACGTTCAGCAGTTAGGCATAGCAAAAAAGATAAAAATAAGCAAGGAATCAACCACCATCATAGCCGATGCTGGATCAAAGGATGAGATTCAATCCAGGATTGCTCAGCTTAAAAGGGAGTTAATCGAGACTGACTCAGCGTATGACTCTGAGAAAATTGCTGAAAGAATCGCGAAATTATCCGGTGGAGTTGCTGTTATCAAAGTTGGCGCTGCAACTGAGACCGAGCTTGAGGACCGGAAGCTTCGTATCGAGGATGCAAAGAATGCAACTTTTGCTGCTATCGAGGAAGGCATAGTGCCAGGTGGCGGGGCTGCATTGATCCACCTCTCGACTTATGTCCCTGCAATAAAGGACAAGTTTGAGGATGCGGAGGAGCAGCTGGGTGCTGATATCATCCAAAAGGTAAACAAAGTCTCCCTTTTTAACACGTTTTATGGTGATTGATTGGTATCTTGGAATAATTCATGCGCATATATATGTGAAAGCCTCATCTAGGTGGGAATTGTTCGAAGTTCTGAACTCAAATTACAAATTGAATCTTTGCACTCTTGTTGCATGAAGGGGTTGCATTACATAAGATAGTGCTATGTCACATTTTGCTACAGCATGAAGCTGTGTCACTTTTGTTTAAAACATCTCATAAACTTTTTGAAAGCTCATTAACTGTTCATGGTAAAATTACACAGCTATCAAGTGACATGTTATGTGCTTCAATAAGGATTTTCTTTCACTGGTTTGATTCTGAATGAAGAATGGGGTGGGGTTTTGCAGGCACTTGTAGCACCAGCAGCATTCATAGCAGAAAACGCAGGGGTTGAGGGCGAAGTAGTTGTGGAGAAAGTGAAGAGCAGCGCATGGGAGTTTGGTTACAATGCAATGAACGATTCTTACGGGAATCTGGTTGAGGCGGGTGTGATCGACCCAGCTAAGGTGACGAGATGTGCCTTGCAAAATGCGGCCTCGGTTGCTGGTATGGTGCTCACAACACAAGCTATTGTTGTCGAGAAGCCCAAGCCCAAGAAGACTGTAGCACCTGGGCCCAAAGTCCCAACAAGGCGTTGGTAGTTATTGTCTCTGATTATTTTCGGTAGGATATGGCCCAAGATCTCTCTCTCTCTCTCTCTCTCTGATTATTTTCAGTAGGATATGGTCAAGATCTTCTCTCTCTCTCTCTCTCTCTCTCTCTCTCTCTGTCTGTCCTGAGGCTGGATGGGTTTTGGCTATGAGTGATACATTAGCTCAAGAGTTCGTCATCTTCTTATTTTGATGCGAAAAGAATCTGTTATCTGATCATATGCTTAGATTTGATGTGCAGTATTGACATTTGAACAAAATATGTGTATGGTCTTCTGAGTTCAGGCCTCACCGTGTGTTTGCTGTTGGTGAGTCCAAGTTTTGTCGTGGCTAAAGAATTGTTTCTACTCAATGGGTTTTTATTTTATTTTATTTTATTTCCTCCAACACTCTCTCATGCTTGTATACAAAACTTTTCGATCAAAATGGTTTTTTTATTTTTTATTTTTTTTAATCAGGCTTAATTTGGAAAAATGTAATACAATTAGTTAGTGATATTTTTAGCTTATGTTAAAATAATATCTAAAAAATAATAATTTAACTTGATTTGAAATAAAAGTAGGAGAGATGTGATGTGATGTGATGTGATAATTAGTTAAAATTATGTGATTTGATGAATGTTGAAATAAAGTTGCTGCGACGACGTATAAGAATGATTGATTAATATTATTTAATTATATTAATAATATTAAAGATAGTAAAAGTGAGTTAGATATTAAATTGAATTGAGTATGAAATGAAATTTTTTATATCCAAACATGCTCTTAAACCTATTCCTAAAGTAAGGGATTTATGTGACAACGAAACACAAATTGAGTGGTAGGATGTTTTATGTATGATCGATAGGTCATGAGTTCGAGCCACCGAGGAGAAAAAATGAGAACACTATTGTCATCCCCTCTCTACATATGGGAGCCATTTCGGTTCTCTATCTTTCTTTTCTTTTACAATTGAAGTTCCCTATAATCGCTCCTGGTGGTGAAATGTACTTTACTCGGACGGCCTCCGAACTAGCAAGAACCCAATGCCGGGAGGGTTCCGGCGTCAGGCCTCCGATGCCTAAGTCAACACTCCCTCCAAATTAAGAGTGCAAAATAAGAGTGTAGTAATGAATGTAGATAGAATGAGGTTTTAGAATACCTTAGCCCCTTTTTATAGAGGGAGATTACTTTAGTGCACAAGTTGGGCTTGACCCATACCCATTATGCCATGTGTCCTGGCCCATATGTGGACTTATTCTCCAATATATAATTCCCGAATACGCTGACTAAGTGACAGATTCGTGTGCTTCGTAAGCTTATTTGACATAAATTGGTGGTTCGTATTGACACATGTTCAAGTTTGGTTTTAATTATTAGGCTTGAGAATTATCATAAACTATTTTAGCTTCCATTTTTTTTAAGTTACCATATACTACTATTACCTTTATTATTTAATTCATATATTAGTTATTAATGTATACTTTTTATTTTTAAAACTTTATAATTTTTTTATTTGTATTTTATTTTTTGTATATGATCTACGAAAATAGTCATACTTTATCGATCTTCAATTTGACATTCATATTGAATATATAAAATTAATTTATTATCAATTCAATTTAAAATACATTAAATAACAATATAAATTATTTTATAAAAATAATAAAAATATAATTTATTAATACACCATAAAATACTCCAACTCCGGAAGCCCGCATATAACTTTTCACGTATGTACTTTAGTGGCTGTAGAAGTCTCGTAATTTGTGGATTTTTCAACAAGTCTGGATGTCGGAGGCCATCATTGTTAAGTTTTTCCGCGAGATTGGTCGGAATTTTGTTTGTCTACTACTAGGTATTGTGTTTGTTTAGGATTGAGGCTAGGTTCATATGTCTAGTGGCTTCGGTTGGTTCTTTTTTGTTGTTATGTTGGGTTGTTTTCCCTTTTTTTCAGTTATGGTTGTGTTAGTTTGGTGCTAAAGGGCTCTTAATGTGGTTTATGCTTTTAGTGCTTTGGTTGGGTTTGTGTCTAGGCCACCGTAGGTGTGGTTCTCCCTTGTTTGTTGTTGTTTATAAGGGGTAGTGAGCTCTCCAATATGCAATTCTCGATTATTTGGTATGAGATCCTTTTATCGTTCGAAAANACATGAATTTTGTAAGAATAAAACCCCACCTTGATGAATGGATAAATGAGGGATGACAAGTTTGACTTGAAGGGATGCCTACTTGTTATCCAACTCTACAATATTAAATAGTCTTGGATTAATACGATTTTACACATATAAAATAGATGAAGGGTTATTAAATTTTAAAATAGATAAATATAACTCTATGTCTATGGACATATAATACATCAAAAGAAGAATAAAATAAATAATTAACATAGCGTATATGTTAAATATACATATAAATTCATATAAAATAATTGGTGGTGTGTGTGGTATACAATATATAAGTATATATATATATACAGGGGATGGATCCAATGGGTCCACCTCTTAAAATGTGGACGTGAGACCCAATCTCAACCGTTGAATCTGTCTTTTAAATCTACGGTCAGCATCAGGTATATATATAATTATAAAATCACGAGCTAAAAAATCACAAACCTTCAGCTCGCTCGAACACAAAATCGGAAATAATATCTCAGATTTCCTCCTCAATCACGATTCTCTGCGATTTCTTTCTCAATCTCGATTTCCTTATCAATTTGAAGTTCGATTTCATCGTCTGATTAGATTTAACTCTCGTTTTCTATTGATTCGATAGGCAAACTCAACTGCTCGTCAAAAATATCCAGGGAAAAAAAAGTCGATTTCATCAAATTTATCTACAATGTCGACGGAAGCAGCTTCAATGGAGACAATGGCGGATCCAGGATGATTACATAATGGGGGCACCATATAATTAACAACAAAAATAATTTAAAAAAAAAATAATGTCTTCACATTACACATAAGTCATATCTTACAACTGTTCCTTACGAGTTTTCATTTTCTGAAAACGATCGATCACTACATCATTCGTAACATTTTCTAGCAAATCATTTTCTACATAACAAATCAAAAGATCATTTAAAAATAGATCACTCATTCGGTTTCGCAAATAATTCTTCACGTACTTCATCGCCGAAAGACTTCTCTCGACAGTTGCAGTGGCAACGGGCAAAGTAAGAGTTAACTTCAAAAGTTTATACACCAATGGATGCGAAAGATGTTTCTTTGTTTCGACCATAACTCGAGCGAGATCACTGATATCCTTTAGGTTGGAAAATCTTCCATCATTTCGAACATTATCAATGTACACTTCAAGTTGATCTTCAAGAGCTATGCGATCCATGGAGTTAAAGTCTTCCGGATAAATCTCAGCCAATCTCATCAACTTTGAGGGGTCAAACTCATGGAACGAGTTAGCAGGATTTAACGAAGCCGTACAAATAAGTAAATCAGAGTTGACTTCATGAAAGCGATCATTAAATTCTTGAAGTTGCATATCAAGAACAGTGTAAAAACAATTCACCGAGTAATGATGTAACTTGGTGACCTTTTCTTTTGCTCTGGGCCGCCTCGGATCAATATAAGATTCCACCATATCTGGCACTGCAATGTCATGTTTCTCACAAAAAGATGATATTTTCCCGAGGAGAGAATCCCAGCCATCATCTCTAAGCTTTTGAAGTTGACTTTTAGTTGCCTTCACCAACAACATAGCATTCAAGATGTCTTGATCCTTTCTTTGCAATGTCGTTGATAAAGAATCTGTGAATCCTAAAACCTTCAACATCAAGTGTAAGTAAAACACAAAATCAAAGGTCTGCAAATAAATGAGAAGACAACGTGCTTGATGTCTAGATTCATCTTTTCCATCACTTTCAACAAATTCAAGCACCTCAATAACCGAAGAAAATAATTCAACCAAACGCAAAAGTGTTTTGTAATGAGACCCCCAACGTGTACTCCCAGGCCTGTGCAAAGAAATCTCTTGATGCAGCCCTTTTCCTGTTGCAATTGCACCACTACCAATGGCTTCTTTCACTTTGTTTTGTTGGGCTTCTCGAATCATATCCTTTCTTTTACAAGAAACTCCAACCACATTCAACAAAGTAGCTACCATATCAAAAAAGTTCTTAACATCATGATGTTTTTTTGCAAGTCCCACAACAACCAATTGAAGTTGATGAGCAAAATAATGAACATAATATGCAGAACTATTTTCTTTTAAAATCAAAGATCTCAAGCCATTAAACTCACCCTTCATATTGCTTGCTCCATCATAGCCTTGCCCTCTAACCTTTTTCATGTTTAATCCATATTCAACAAATAAAGAATCAATTACAGATTTAAGAGACAAAGAAGTTGTCTCTTTCACATGAATAACACCAACAAATCTTTCTTTCACAACTCCATGCATATCAACAAAACGCAAAACCACTAACATTTGCTCCTTATCAGAAGCATCACGAGATTCGTCAACCAACAAAGCAAACACATCATCACCAATTTCACCTAGAATAGAACGGATGATTTCTTGAGCAAAACAATGAACAATGTCTTTTTGAATACTCGGAGACACCATTTGATTATTTCCTGGAGCACTTTTCAAGACAACATTCCCTACAGTCTCATTATTTTCTGCAGTATACTTTATCATTTCTAAGAATATCCCTCGGTTATCAGATTGATCTGACTCATCATGGCCACGGAAGGGTAATCCTAACCTCAACAAAAGTTTAGCAGCACTAATTGAGGTATTTAAACGGATACGATATTCATTTTTCACAACTTCACTTTGCTTATGGAAAGCAACTGCAATAGACTGACTTTGTTTCAACAAATCATCACATTTTTTTACGGCATTGTTATGAAAGCTATTAACATCGCCCACATGAGAGGCTAATCTCTCTATTTTATTCCAACTCGAAAAGCCCTCGGTAACAAATGCATCATTTCCACCTTTATTTTCAAAGTTATCTCGAAACAAATAGCAACACAAACAAAAAATTTTATCCTTCTTCACGCTGTACTCTAACCAGTTATACTGATCAAACCAAACAACATTAAACCGCCTCAATTT